TATAAACACAAGATATTAAAAGTAGCCTCTATCATGCTTACTATAACTAGTTATTTTGGTTTTCTCGTGGCAGCTTTCACTCTAACCTCAGCTCTTTTTATTGGTTTGAGCAAGATACGAATTATTTAAAATTGAAATTAAAGAATATCTTCATTAATATAAAATCTGTTAGGGGCTTCTTTTTCTGTTTAGTCTAGAGTTACTTTCAGTTACTTGTTGCACTAATTATAAATTGCTTTTAATAAAATAAAATAATAAAATATTGGTTATTTAGATTCATGTAAATTTCTATGAATATTTTGATATAGATATCACTTTTTTTTTTATTTAACACAAATAATGGAATAATGGAAGTTTTTATATTGGGAATCCTATTAGGTATAATTCCTATTACTTTGGCAGGTTTATTAATAACTGCATATTTACAATACAGGCGTGGGGATAAGTTAGAACTTTAATTCATAATTAATGAATAGATCGTTTTTTTATCTCTTCCCTTTCATCCCCAAGGATGAAATTTTGGATTGCTGTTCACATGACGGAATCTAGTGAAGTATTATTTATTAATTAATAATAATTAAGTCGAGAATAAAAAAACACGCTCTGTAGGATTTGAACCTACGACATTGGGTTTTGGAGACCCACATTCTACCAAACTGAACTAAGAGCGCTTTTTTATCAGAATATAGAGTTTTTTCGTAAGTAGAATTCCAAAGATTTTTAGACTTGTATTAGAAACTAGTATTACTAATATTCTAATACTACTCCAACCCTAGAGTATGCCTCCTTTGAAGCGATTTCGCTAGATGATCTCTTACTCTTCAAAGGAGAGCGTTTATTAAGTAGGGATGACAGGATTTGAACCCGTGACATTTTGTACCCAAAACAAACGCGCTACCAAGCTGCGCTACATCCCTTCAAATGTTATCCAATATATGAGAATAGGGCATAATTGATTATAAAATAAGTCGCATAATTTCATTTTTTCATTAGTTGTATAATCTTTATATATCTGTTATCTATTATAGTTTTCGATCTTTCTATATCCTTCTTTATTTATAATTTATACAAAAAAAAATAAAAGGTGGGGCCTTTACCTACATCTAGATCTGATAATATATGTACTATAACTATTGAGTAAAAATCAATTTTAAAAGGAAAGGAGGTTTTTTGATGCGATATTTTAAAACATATCTCTCTGCGGCACCAGTAATAATTACGCTCTCATTAGGAGCTTTAGCAGGTCTATTGATAGAAATAAATCGGTTTTTCCCGGATGTGTTGACATTCCCCTTTTTTTAATTCTAGTTATTTAATTGACTTTATAGAGCAAGGCATGAAGAAGACTAGAAGTACCATCAAACATACTTAAATATAGAAGGACCACTTCAGTATACGTAAAAATTCCCTCCTTCACTTTTCTTTGATTAACGGAGGAAAGATAAACGAAAGGAAAGATAAATAAAAAAGAGGGATTCAAGGTTTGCTCAAGGTCAATTACAAGGTCAATTAAATTACTCTTCTATTAATACTTCTAGGGGTGGCATTAGTCAATAACCTAAAAATTTGACTGACCAAAATAAAACAAAATAAAAGGAGATTCATGACCAATAAGAAAGATGTACGAGGACCCGTAATTTTGGAATGTACCAGTTGTTTACAAACCGGTGGTAATAAAATTAAAATATCAATAGGTATTTCTAGATATATTACTCAAAAGAACCGGCACAATACACCCAATCGATTAGAATTGAAAAAATTCTGTCGCCGTTGTTACAAACATACGATTCATGTAGAAATTAAAAAATAAATAGGTATTTTAAAAAGTAGTGGGAAAATAAAACAACATTTTTAGTCTGAATTGACAAGGAAACTTAATTCTAATTCAAAACAAATTCTATTCGTATATTTCAGTAGACGGAATAAACAAATTATGGATAAACCCAAGCGACCCTTTATGAAATCTAAGCGATCTTTTCGTAGGCGTTTGCCCCCGATTAAATCGGGGGATCGAATTGATTATAGAAACATTAGCTTAATTAGTCGATTTATTAGTGAACAAGGAAAAATATTATCGAAACGCGTGAATAAATTGACCTTAAAACAACAACGATTAATTACTCTTGCGATTAAACAAGCTCGAATTTTATCTTTGTTACCCTTTATGAAAAGGAAAGGATCTGAAAGAGGGGAGTCGACCAAGCGAACTAGTAAAGCTAGAAATCAAAATAAACAAAAGAAATATCAAAGTAATCGAAATAAATCACTAAATAAAAATAAATAAATAGACTTATTGGACTTGATTGAGAATTGCAATCAGTTCTAACAGAACTAAAATGGGAATTAGTGTTTTGCTCTAAAAAGACGCGAATCTAGATTTAAGTTCTTTATTTATCATTTTTTATAATAAATAAGAAAAAACTGTCCCGGAGTTCATTCTCCGGGAACTCTTTTTGAATTCTTCCAGTATCTACTTTATGTTTAGAATCTCGTTTGAAATCATATAAACGCATTTCCTATTTAATATTGCGATTTGGGCAAGTATTTTACGGTTAAGAAGTAATTGGTTATGGTACAAATCATGTATGAATTTACTATAACTATAGGATACTCCTTTTTCACGACTTACTGCATTTAGTCGAGTGATCCACAAACGACGAAAATCTCTCTTTTGTATATCCCTATCCCGAGTAGCTGAAACAAATGCTCTGATTGCCTGTTGATTAATAGTTCGAATAAGTGTTGAATGAGCCCCTCGAAAACGTGATGTAAAAAAACGTATTTTTGTTCGACGTTTCCGAGCTATAGAGCCCCTTTTAATTCTGGTCATTGAGTATTTCTTTGTTTTGGTGATTGTCTTATTCGTTCGTCTATTTTATTTACTACTAGGATTTATTAATATTATTCTTTATTAATTTATTAATTGTCTTCTGTAATATTGATATGGTATATTAGATATATATATGTTCTTATATACATTATTATTATATCTTTAATATGTTTATTAATTAATTAATATTATATGTGTATTATATTATTATATCTTTGTGTTTATATATTTACATATATTTATTCTGTAATGTTTATATAATATTGTATATTCTTCCTTATTTACGAAAATTATTTATGAAAAAAGGTATGGAAACGGATTTTTCCAATGTATAAAATAAAAATCCCAATGGCTTTTGCGACTATAACCTTCCCAACCACAATTTTTATTTTATTATTTAGTTATTTGACTACCAAACAAAAATAAGAAAGACATAAGAAAGTTTCAATTTCTATGTATCGATAAATAGAGTTAATAAAAAAAAATAGAACTCGATAAATAAATAGTGGGATTCCTTCGTTTCTATGGTTTCTTCTGAAACGGTGAGGTCTTTTCTATACACCGGAGCCCTTCACTAAATTGAATAAATTTTATTTATTGTGAACTTGTATAGTTTACATTATTGAGGCTCTACCCATTCATTATTCAATAAAGTAATAGATCTTTCACAACCCGATCTAATTATAAAGTAACGGTATTTAAGTAGGAAAGTTAGCTAAGTTAGCTTACCTTTTTAGTCCGTTCTTGCAAGATTGGGTCCTCATTTTTTTTTTAGGATTTTCTCCGCTTAATGGATAACCTTTTGCTACCAAAGGAGAATTGCTTCTCTACTGAAATTAAGGTAATTGGATTTGCACCAAAGGAAACCATAAACTTTGTACCCAAAAAAGGAATTTATATAGTTTTTGAAAGAAGGAATGAAGTTCCTTCATCCATATATATCCCTTTATACTGTCGAATTACTTTTCATTTTTGGGTATCAACTTATAATATAAACGAGTCGCACATACACCCTAGTACATGTTCCTCGACGCTGAGGACATCCCCGAAGAGCGGGAGATTTCGTGATATTTCTTATTGGCTGTCTTTTATTTCTAATAAGTTGTTTAATAGTTGGCATCTTTAATCTATTATATTACATAATGGGCTGGTTTAGATTAATCCGAACCGACTTATGCTGAATTCGTTTTATTTCCATTGAAGAAAATATCTAATCACCCGGAAGATTCAATACACCAGCAGACTTCTTAGTTTTAGTGAAATCCATATTGAATGAAAAACTCTATAGGACTAACCCTGAGCCCCAAGAGAAACCCCTACAGCATCAACAAGCCCATAAGATTTGGCTTCTGTTGGTGATAAAAAAACGTCTCTTTCCATGTCTTGGATTATTACCCACTTAGGTTGGCCGGTTCTTTGCGCATAAACCTCTACGAGGCTTTCGCGCATTTTCAACAACTCTCCCGCTTCTGAGACCGCTTCAACTGTTTGATTCTCAAAAAAAGAACTAATAGGTTGATGGATCATTACCCTGATAATATATAATATAAAAAAAGATAATATATTAATTAATCTAGAAGATTAACATAGAATATAAATAGAATGTAACATATATAATATAAATAGAATGTAAAAGGAGTTACTTCACGTCGTAAAAAAAAATAAACGCAATAAAATAGAACAACCGTACAGGCATCTTTTTTTTTTTGCATACGGCTAATAATATGGTCCTCCTTCTCTGCTTCTAAAATAAATAGTCAAATAGAACTATCATAATCATAATGAGGGATAAGTTAGTATAACTAAATGATCAAATTGCCATCCTTTCTTTTAGACAAGTTTAAAATAGACAAGTTTAAAATTATTATGATGGCCCCGTTGCTTTCTCTAGAAATATCTATAATCTATATATCTAGATTGTCTTTTCTTTATTGTCTTTAGCAATCCCAAAGTTTCTTTTTTGATCGGATCAAATACGGAAAAATGAAAAATCGTGTATGTGTAGACCTGGTATGAAAATAAAAAAGGGTTTGTGACGCTGAACTGGCCTCTCCTAATATTACCCAAATATTATAGAATTTAGTAAAGACGTTTTAGTCCATACTACTCGCTCGATATATAATCGAAGGTTTGAAAACCAAATAAAAAAATTTTAATACCGAATTGAAAGTGCCATGCTATTTTTACTTATTATAATATAGATATTCTTATATTCATATAACGAAGGCATAGTTATCCTCTTTTTTATTTTTTATCAAAAAACCTCATTGGCGCCAAGCGTGAGGGAATGCTAGACGTTTTGTAATTGTTCCCACCAACTAACAGAAAAGATCCCATAGACGCGGCTAATCCTAGGCATATTGTCTGGGTATCTGGTCGCACAAATTGCATAGTATCATAAATAGCCAATCCCGATATTATTCCTCCACCAGGAGAGTTTATAAACAAAAAAATATCCTTGGTACTATCCAGTATACCAAGATATACAAACAGACCTACAAGTTGATTCGAGATCTGACTATCAATCCCCTGAGCTAAAAAAAGGCATCGTTCGCGATAAAGTCGGTTGTTTAGGGGAATTTCTTTCCCTTATGAACCGTACATGTGCCTTTTGACACATACGGTTCAAAAAACTTACGAATAAAGAATCAATGTATAGAAGGAAGCCCCTTAAATTTTTTTTTTATAACAGGTTCTCTCGAACATCTAGCGAAAATTTCGTCTGTATAATAAAAAGGGGAAAGGGCAACTCAACCTATTGAGTCAACTTTTATTTGATGTATTGTTTCATCGAGTTTCAATTCAAATTACGATGGCATTTTCTTGTTCCTGCATGAATTTATTTTTTTTTAGGTTTCTGCTCTCCTCCGGGTAAGTATTCGCCCAATTCATATTTGTATATATAGAACAAATATGCTCTGATTGCTTTTTGTGTTTTTTTTTTTTTCTCTTCAATTCATTTTAGACCTTATCTTATACCAAGTTTTTTCAAGTTTTAGATACGCGAAGAAGAGTATATCTATATTTACTTTTTCAAAGTATAGGAATCAGTTGTGATACAATTGAAAATCGTCGATATCTTACCGATGTTCTTTTTCTTAAACGGAGCCTGAATACTTCATTTTTTGAGTCCAACCAAGCCAACCATACTAAGGACTAGTATTAAAATTCCCCCAAAAGGTTATCCTTGTCACTTCACGCTCCAAATTTTGGACCATTCCGGTCGTTTATCTAGGTGAAACGGGGTCTATCTCTATCGGGGGAGATACTGGGGAAATCCCAACTTACTCAATATATCTTACAAGTCACACTATATATCAATCCACACTGCACTTTTATCTTCGTGATATTGGAAACGTACTCTTGGAACACCAATGGGCATAAAAAAAAAGATTTTCTATTTTCAAATTCACTTTGATAAGGAAACGTAAAACTAAAAAAACAACTAGATATCTATATCAAAAGAGATAGAGTATTCTAATCTAAAAATACGTAAATTTCAAATTAGAATACAAAATAAAGCAGAATAACTTTAATAAATGTAACTTGGTTCGTTGATATATGCAATAAAGGTATATGTTGCAGATTCATACTTATCGAGTATAGAATAAATCTGCTTGTCTTTAGAAAATGGATGCTCTATTCTGAAAAAATACGTTTAAAAATAGCAATGTGGGGTCCCTAGGATGAGTAATAGCCTTGTATTTTTCTGTTTTTACAATGCAAGAAAGTTACGCAGTGTCTATTTATCTTTGATGAAAGGGGTATTTCCATGGGTTTGCCTTGGTATCGTGTTCATACTGTTGTATTGAATGATCCTGGTCGGTTGCTTTCGGTTCATATTATGCATACAGCTTTGGTTGCGGGGTGGGCTGGTTCCATGGCTATGTATGAATTAGCGGTTTTTGATCCTTCCGACCCGGTTCTTGATCCAATGTGGAGACAAGGTATGTTTGTAATACCCTTTATGACTCGGTTAGGAATAACTAATTCCTGGAGGGGTTGGGATATTACAGGAGGGACTGTAACGACTCCCGGTCTTTGGAGTTACGAAGGTGTAGCTGGCGCACATATTTTGTTTTCTGGGTTATGTTTTTTGGCAGCTATCTGGCATTGGGTGTATTGGGATCTAGAAGTCTTTTGTGATGAACGGACTAGAAAACCCTCTTTGGATTTACCTAAGATCTTTGGAATTCATTTATTTCTTGCGGGGGTTACTTGCTTTGGCTTTGGTGCATTCCATGTAACGGGTTTGTATGGTCCCGGAATTTGGGTATCCGATCCTTATGGCCTAACAGGAAAAGTAGAACCTGTTAATCCTGCCTGGGGTGTGGAAGGCTTTGATCCTTTTGTTCCAGGAGGAATAGCCTCTCATCATATTGCAGCTGGAACACTGGGCATTTTAGCGGGGTTATTCCATCTTAGTGTCCGTCCGCCTCAACGGCTATACAAGGGATTACGTATGGGAAATATAGAAACCGTCCTTTCAAGTAGTATTGCTGCTGTCTTTTTTGCAGCTTTTGTAGCTGCTGGAACTATGTGGTATGGTTCGGCGACTACCCCAATTGAATTATTTGGCCCCACCCGTTATCAATGGGACCAAGGTTATTTCCAACAAGAGATATATCGAAGAGTTAGTACGGGACTAGCAGAAAATCAAAGTTTATCAGAAGCCTGGTCGAAAATTCCGGAAAAATTAGCTTTTTATGATTATATCGGTAATAATCCAGCAAAGGGAGGATTATTCAGAGCAGGTTCGATGGATAACGGGGATGGAATAGCAGTTGGATGGTTAGGCCACCCTGTCTTTAGAGATAAAGAAGGGCGTGAACTTTTTGTACGCCGTATGCCTACTTTTTTTGAAACATTTCCAGTTATTCTAGTAGACAGTGATGGAATTGTTAGAGCCGATGTTCCGTTTAGAAGGGCAGAATCGAAGTATAGTGTTGAACAAGTAGGAGTCACTGTTGCGTTCTACGGTGGTGAACTCAATGAAGTAAGTTTTAATGATCCGGCTACTGTGAAAAAATATGCTAGACGCGCTCAATTCGGTGAAATTTTTGAATTAGATCGTGCTACTTTGAAATCTGATGGGGTTTTTCGGAGTAGTCCAAGAGGTTGGTTTACTTTTGGGCACGCTTCATTTGCATTGCTCTTCTTTTTCGGACACATTTGGCATGGTGCTAGAACCCTTTTCAGAGATGTTTTTGCTGGGATTGACCCAGATTTAGATGTGCAAGTAGAGTTTGGAGTATTCCAAAAACTGGGAGATCCAACGACAAGACGACAAGCTGTCTGATATATCATTTATCCTATTATTTTGATATCTGTCTTTCGTTCTTTCTTTATCCGAAGCGAAGTAAGATATAGGGTAAGATATAGGATAAAAAAAACAAAAATAGGTAGGAAAGCTATAATTGGAAACTACGATGTAATTTATGGAAGCATTGGTTTATACATTCCTCTTAGTCTCGACTCTAGGAATAATATTTTTCGCTATCTTTTTTCGAGAACCCCCTAAAGTACCAATGAAAAAGATCAAATAATTTTTCGCTATAGTAACTTGAAGTAATAAGCCCTCCACCGTGGGGAGGCTTATTACTTCAACTAATCTCCATGTTCTTCAAATGGATCTCTTAGCTGTTGAGAAGGTTGTCCAAAAGCGGTATAGAAGGCATACCCAGTAAAACTAAAAAGTAAACCGGATATAAATATCGTCACTAGGATTGCTGTTTCCATTTTTTTATTAGTATATAATTAAAATACTCCAAAGGATCTATGCTAAGATCATTTCTTTATAACGCAATGGTATACAAAGTTAACAGATCTCTCAATAAATAAAATTGAATAAAAGAGGATTTATGGCTACAAAAACTAGTGAGAAAGGTTCTCAATATCGTCCAAGACAAACTACTATCGGTAATTTATTAAAACCATTGAATTCAGAATACGGTAAAGTAGCTCCGGGGTGGGGAACAACACCTTTAATGGGTTTGGCAATGGGTTTATTCGCGATATTTCTATCTATTATTTTAGAGATTTATAATTCTTCCGTTTTATTGGATGGAATTTCAATGAATTGAAACCTAGTCCCACTTTTTTTATTCAAAGCGGCGCCCTTTTAACTAAGATTTAGAATGCATTCTATTTTATGTAATTGTGGTAGTTCGATCGTGTTATTTATTTATTTCTATCATTTCCGGAATATGAGTGTGTGACTTGTTATAAAGGATCCTATTCATAGTCCATAAAATTTGGTTATCTTACTTACCAGAGATTATTTGATTCGTCAGATATGGATTCGAGTATCTGAAACACGAGATCTATTTGAACTATGATTCAGACTTCCTATTAAGACCTCGTGCCCGGGTTCCAAAAAAATTTTGAAACCAAGAAGGTTTGATTATTTAAAACCTTCTGGATGACCAAAATAAAAATTCCATCTATTTAGTATGGTTAAAGTTAATTTAAAAAGGTTCTTACTCAGGGAATCCTTGATTACGTTTCAATTTTTTTAATCGTGGTTCTAAATAGGAATCTTAGGTTTTTTTCGATTTATAGGGTCTTAACAAGGTAATTCCTATCCAATCAAATAAACAAAACAAATAAAAAAAGAATCATTCCATAAAAAAAAAGATAGGTAAAGAGAAGCTTCAAAAAGCCCGTCAAAATAAAAATAAAGACAACTGAGCTAACTTGATATGTTTGTATTAGTGCCAAAAAAATCAATAAGAAATAATAGATTTCGCATTTTATTGAATATAATCTATGTGTTGGTCTGGCCGGCGCAATGAGTATTTGGACATTTTTGGTTGAGCTGTACGAGATGAAAGTCTCATATACGGTTCTCAGGGGGGGGAAATTACCCTATCTCAATAAAGTCTATGATTGGTTCGAAGAACGTCTGGAGATTCAGGCGATTGCAGATGATATAACTAGTAAATATGTTCCTCCACATGTCAATATTTTTTATTGTTTAGGGGGAATTACGCTTACGTGTTTTTTAGTACAAGTAGCTACCGGGTTTGCTATGACTTTTTACTATCGTCCGACCCTTACAGAGGCGTTTGCTTCTGTTCAATACATAATGACTGAAGCGAACTTTGGTTGGTTAATCCGATCGGTTCATCGATGGTCAGCAAGTATGATGGTATTGATGATGATTCTGCATGTATTTCGTGTGTATCTGACAGGTGGGTTTAAAAAACCTCGTGAATTGACTTGGGTTACAGGTGTAATTTTAGCTGTATTGACAACATCTTTTGGCGTAACCGGTTATTCGTTACCTCGGGACCAAATAGGTTATTGGGCAGTGAAAATTGTAACAGGTGTACCCGAAGCTATTCCTGTAATAGGATCACCTTTGGTAGAATTTTTACGAGGAAGCGCTAGTGTGGGGCAATCCACCTTGACTCGTTTTTATAGTTTACACACTTTTGTCTTGCCTCTTATTACTGCCGTATTTATGTTAATGCACTTTTCAATGATACGTAAACAGGGTATTTCTGGTCCTTTATAAATCAAAATAGAAATAAAAAGAGATCCTAAATAAAAAAAATTTGTAAGATATGTTATTTCTCACTTGGAGG